TTTGCTGATTCGACCCAGGTTCGAATCTCAACGATGGTTGGTCAATTTGAATTTTTGTATCCCTGCTAGCACCAATAATAGTGCTGTCGCAAAACTCCAGCAATGGTAGAGGGATCATGGGTTAGAATCTCTTGTTGTTGGTCTAACCATGGGAAATTTTCGTAGTTTGCCTTACCATGTGACTCAAATGGAGGTTATTTCAATCAAAAAGTCCTTAGGAAAGGAAAGTTTGTCTCAATGCTTAATCCAAGAGTTGATTTGTCTACTGTGTTGAGTTCAATATTTCAAGGCACCGGAGTTTAACATAGCCGTAAACCAAAAATGGGTCAGCTGTTAAACGCCGATTGTAATTGAAAACAAAAACCATACAGACCTAAATGAACTAAAATTATGTTTCAATTTTATAAAAAAAAATAATTATAAAAATGAAAATAAAATAATTAAAATTATTTTGTTAATTCGATTGATTTAAAGCACTAGTAAACTGAAGTACTTTCAGTCGCTCTATACAAGAATAACTGTGTCTATAATATTATTTATTTAAATCCTGAATATTCTATATTTCATTGGCTGTAAAAAGCTAAGGGGAGCCATTCATCCTTAAAACAGAATCTTCTTTCTTTTTTAGCTTCACAATAAATGTTTGAGGAGGGAGCAGTTTGAGTTAGAAGTGGAATTCGTGTGAAAGTGCGAGGCGTTGCACCTTCTGGCTGATCCGGAATTTATTGATCAACACTTGAAATGTTGGGATGAGAGGAAACAAGCGCCACACACGGCACATTTAAGTTACTCAAAAGGAAAATTGTGTACCCATCTCCAGAAATTTAAAAACTCTTTTTTTTTTTTTTGAGACAGAAACGAAACTCATTCGACTGATTTAACTCCTGACATTTTGCAAATTGCTGACTGAGTATTTCTTTCAAACTATTTCTATCTCTTATTTTATCTGGTTTTGTTACCTCAAAAAGAGATGGTTAAGAAGTAACGTATTAAATTGAATTTATTAATTTCAACATGAAACACTGGAAGTTTGTAGATTTTTTAAGTTTCATACCGATTTTTCAAATTTAAAAAAAAAAGAAATAGAAACAACGCTTTTTATAAAACTAATTTTTTTAAAAATTAATTGAATTTTTTTAAAATACTATGCTTATCTTTGCATTAAAAGTAATAAAATCTGTGTCAAAAAGTAACCATAGTCGTTGTCAAATTAATAAAGTGATCTTAGGAAGATATATTTATCTATCTATCTATATATATATATATATATATAACGGTTTTAAACCATTGTGTAATAATGTGACATAGTGNTATATATATATATATATATATTCATATATTCCAAATAAAAATCATTATAATTAAAAGTAAAAATGATAGGTTCTTAGATTCTTACTACAAGTATTTCAGTAGTTAGTCGTCTCCGAAAATGAGCAGTTAGAAGTAGAAATTGTTAATAATTAAGCATGTACTTGTGGTTGTGGTGTAAAAGATAAATCTCTTCTAGTCTTAAATATTATATAATGTTTTTTTGACTTATTGTAAATACATTTCATCTTCTTAATCAGATTTGCATTTTTATTAATTTTTAATACGATGTCAGCTATGCCAAGTTTTGACACTCATTTTTGACGTATAGTGCTAATTTTTTTCTTTCATTTTTTTATTTGGTTAGCTTTTAAAAAATATCTAAAACCTTATTAAGTCAATAAAGTAGATTATCTTTCAGCAATTAATTGGCATTTCTTGATTGCATTACTTTTTGTCAAAGAAAAACATATTTTTATCAGAACAAACATAAGGAAAAAAAAAGAAGAAGAAACGAAGATTAATCTTTCTCTCTCTCTTTTCCACGTTTATAAATTCTTTTCAAAATAAATTTTGAAACTATTTTTTGATTTTAAATTAACTAAATATTATTTTCCGGGTTTTTTTTTTTTTTTTTTTTTTTTTTTTAAGTAATCACTCTAGCTGTAACATTTTTTATTCGCACCGAAATGATGGTCAGATGTAGGAAAGACATGTTTATTCAGTGATTAATTTTTAATATATGAACGCGTTTATGAATAATACAAAAAAGTGCTAGTTGCGTGTGTAAACCAACCAGACCAGCTTTTGTTTCCATTTAAATACGAAGCATATCCAGTAGTATGTTACCGGCCAAATATGAAATAGTGTGGAATACCAAGGCATTTTATAGAATGCTCGGCGTTTCATAGCAAAATATAAAACGCGAAAAATATTATATACTTCGCCTAGGTATACGTGGGAATTCTGTTGAATGAAAAATGCTCTTACCAAAAAGTGTGATAGAAAAAATCCATGATAAGTTTAGGGTATAAAATGCGTCCATTTTTCAAAACTATAAATGCTATCTTGAATAAAATAAATAACTAAACAAAGAAAGCCATGAAAAAAATTTCTTTCAAAATGCATAATAATAAAATGGTGTTATACAAAACAATTTCATGTCTTTTTTATGAAACAATATAAAAGTCTAAGTGTTGCATGAAAAAAAATCTTAATTTAATTTTTTACAAATAATTAAATAAAAAACATATTGAGTAGGAAAATTTTAAAAAATTTTTCCCTGAAAATAAAAATTTTATATTTAAAACGAAATGGATATGTATTTCATAATATGGTGATTTGGATGGTATTTTTTTTAAATTTTGTGAGAATATTTCGGTATTTTAATGAGCCTGATGTTAAAAGTTGGCGGAATATTAGATTAGTTTAATGTATTCTTGTATGACTTTAGATTAGTTTTATGTGTTCTTGTATGATTTTAAATTAGTCTTATGTATTCTTGTATGATTTTGATTTTGAAATGAGGAGCAACGAATAAAATAAAGCTGATTAATAAGTAAAGTGAAAATAGAAAAAAATTATCACTTTTTTCTTTTTATCTTGATTGATGTCACTCGGTAATTGGGGCATTACACTTACTTCCTTTGATTAATCTGATTACTAAAAATAATTAACAGTAATAATTTTCAACAGCCGCATTCCATACACTAATATTTTTATTCATCGGTAAGGAGCTGTGAGGTTAAGGAGAATGATAATAGGCAAAGGATAGAGCTCTGCAAATCCTGATTTAGTTCTTTCATGTTTTCACTAAAACAGGTAAAGGATTTGATCAAATCACTTCCTTCCTTTAGGGAAATCTTTCAACAGAGTGACAATTTTAACATCTTGCAGGAATCGATTATTTAGCTTAAAGATGAGATAAAATCTCCGTTTTTATCATCTGCCTGCCACATAAATAAACTGCTCTGCTACAATAAATAAACTCCACTTAAGAAGTATAATGAAATAATTATCTCTAAAAATTTCTTCATTACTATGTTATTTGACTTCAGTTTTTAATCAAATCACTTAAATTATTGGATATCAATAGCTGTATTTAACTAAAACATTATTAAGAAAAAAGTCTAATAATCTAATATATATATATATATATATATATATATCGAAGAGCGCTTACATNGAGAGAGAGAGAGAGAGAGAGAGAGAGAGAGAGAGGGATTCAGTCAGTCTTAAGTTTATTTTATTCATAATTTATTCATTTTATTTTTTTATTCATTATTTTATTCAAGTGGTATGAATCGTATAGTTCTGATAGTATAAATAGTAAGTTCTTGTAAAAAATGAAGCAGAAAGTTATTATTATTGAAATACAGACAATAGAAAATATGTTTTTGAAAAATAGAAGGTTAAAAAAGAGAAAATTTCTCCTAGAAAGAAAAATTTAGAAAACCACAGAATTTAACCCAATCTGAAACTGCTTTAATTATTCTCAGTTTTTATTTCATATTTACTCTCAGAAAATTTCTGAAAATGAAGAGCTACGAGTACATCACATCTAAAAGTGATGTTCTGTTTCCCTAATTTATGTATCACAAGTCCGAAGGCGTTCCTTTGTTTTATAGATTTTTCAAATGAGGTCAGTTTTCATTCCAAACTTTTGCGTGTTTTCAATGCTTGTAAGTTTGGAAAAGATTTTTTTAAAAAAAGTATTTGAATGATTTTAGATAATTAACATCAAATAAATAAATGAATAAATAAATAATACCTTAAGAATATAATAAAAAATATTAAAATAAGTAATTTAAATTTTTGGAATTAAAAAGGTTCTAAGAGGCTAAATTGAATAACTTGTTTTTTTTGTCTGAATATCATAAATTTTCTTCATTTTTCAAATCATAAATGTCATCTTTCTAAAATTAGTATTACTTTTTAGTTTTCAGCTATGGAATAAGATTGAAAAGTATATCGATTTCTCATTTAATCAATTCCACTAGTATATGATAGCTGTCTGTTTTTGATGAACTACAACAGGTTCTTAGGAGCAGTTAAAATTTGATTTAAAAGCTGCATGCTGCGTTGCGAATGTTTAGAAATTACGTGCAAGATGAAATTCTCGCGCATGCGTGAATTACTTCGACGTCAGATCGCATAAGAAAGGCCATTCTCTTTTTATGTGGTTCACGCACCTTTATTCGCCAAATTTCGCCATCAAAGAAATATGAGAAGCTGATTGGCGATATATATTTTCTGTGAAAAATTCACCTCTGTGAAAACTCTGATTTTCTTCTATCGGCGGTGATTGGTAGTGTGGAAACCGCACGGTGTGATCTACTTGAGCTTTATCTGATTTTTAACTCATTTACAGAATGAGAACTAATAAAATTCTAATTTTACGCAAAAAAATTTTCTTCGATTTTTTTAAACTTCTTGTAGTTTAGATTAAAGCGTATCTAGCTGCATTTCTTTTTCTCCCCATTAGATTTTTAACAACTGCGTGAAGTGAAGTAAAGCAGTGAGATTTTGCGGGATGTTTGTTTACTTTTTATCTTATCTCGTTTGTGTGTAATTTAAAATAGTTACTGATTGTAAGATTTATATTAATCCATTTTATTATTAAAAGAACCTTTTTCGTTCAATAAATACCTCAATTAAATTTGAATTTAAGGAAATCTGAGTAATTTATAAAGATGGAAATAGTTGAGTCATTTGGGTACAGTGTCGGTGTTTTAGTAATTAGTGATACAGTAAGCAGCGGTGAAAAGATAGATTTAAGTGGAAATAATTTACTTCAATTGCTGAAAAGTGGAAAATATTTTCCCGTAAGTACTATCCTTGAAGAGTGTGTTCCTGATGACTTGGACAAAATTCAAGAAAAAATGAAGCAATGGGTTGACAGTAAAAATATTGATCTCATTTTAAGTGTTGGTGGTACTGGATTTTCTATTCGAGATGTTACACCTGAGGCTACTAAAGGCATTATTGACAGAGAAGCACCCCATTTAGCGTCTCGCATGATATTAGGTTGTTGTGAAAAAACTCCGTTTGCTGTATTATCTAGAAGTGTTTGTGGAATGCGTGGTCAAAGTTTAATTTTAAATCTACCCGGAAGCAAAAAGGGTTCTCAAGAGTGTTTTGAAATGATCGCGAATGTACTTCCTCATGCTCTTGATCAGTTAAAAGGAAAAATTAAAAAAGTAATGAAATTACATTCTGAACTGCAAGGAGAAGGAACTGATCGAACTAAATTGACGTAAACGATTTTACGTTTAAACAAGTAGTTAGAAATAAATTTTCTTCATATCATTTCAAGTTATCAGATGTATTATATTTTGTTGAAATTGTTTATCACTGATGTTATGTTTTAGCCATTTTATTGTGGTTAATGAAATTTATTGTTAGCTTCTTCAAAATAGTTATTTGTACTATTTTATAGATTTATCATTCATGTAATTAAAACTTAGGTATAATGATTTAACTATTTTTATGTGTTTATATCAAACTAATTATATAGTGTTAATGTAATAAAATGCATTATAATTTAAAAAATATAAATATACTTCATAATATTAAAATAGTTTTTTTAGGTTGAAATTATTTGGAACATATTTCAAGGTTATTTTTTTTAAATAACTTAAATGATTAAAGATAATAATTAATTATTTTTATCTTTTTCAGTAATGTAAATATCTGTGCACATAGAATTTAACAATTTAAATTGTGCAGGAAACTTCGTTCACTGTACAGTCTGGTTAATGTACAAAATAATAGTTCTTCTTTATAATCTGTTTTTTTTGTCCAAGAAGTTAAGAGACCAAAAACAGCATTCTACACAGTAATTAAAAATATATTAGACATTTGATTAAAACTTTATTTATTAAATTTTAAAAGAATTACTAGTTGACCAATTTAACTTACCATTTTTAAGCTAAACACTTCTATTATTTATTTATATTTAAAAAAAAATATTGTCAGTATTTTTTATATTTGTGAATTTGATAAGATAAATTTTCATCCGATTGGGTGGAAAATTTAGCTAGAATTTACCCTTGGAATGAGATAACTTCTGGTCACTTCTGGTATAATTACTGGTCTTTAAGTTGTTTAATACTAGTAAAGGCTATTTCTTTTATGTTGGTACTACAATTTAATAAACCAATTTGACTATTATTTTCATCAGGTATGGATGTTAAACATTTTATATTTATAAAATTTTTGTCGATATTTCAGGTCTAAATATAGATATATTTATCATGGAAAATATGTTACATTGAACAAATCCTTAAGCCAAGCATTTTTTGTATAATTTACATACATTATCTTAGCTGCCATATCAACTGTGATCTACACCTTTTAAGTTGATTGGCCCATAAATTTTGACGCATAATTGTCTCATTTTTAGATAGCTCATGTTTCTTCTCTCTCTTTATTTCGAGCACTTTACACCCACTTTATACTTCGGTGATTTTCAAAATATAAAATTTTTTATTATAATTTGCAGCATAACATCTGCACTGACACTTCTATTGCATTTTGTTTATTATAATTTTACACTACCAACTACTTGCACTATTAAAACACTCTGGCAGTTTATTTGGATCTTTGTTGTTCTCTTTTATTATCTTGTTTTATTTTCTTTTGATTAGCTTGCATTGCTTCTATTTTTCTTTCACATTCTGTAACTAGTTTCGGAAAGTCATTATTTGTAATGACAGCTGGGCTTATACCAATGCCTATTTTTTTTTTAGTGTACTGCTATTTTTATGTTTTAACTTTCTTGCTTAGCCAGTCTTTTATGGAGAATGATACAATCGACTGACTAACTGCTGTAACTGCCTTGGCAGAGCAGGAAGGGAGGAAAATTATTGCTTATTATGAAAATAATAATTTACTTGAGGAAACTGAACTAGATACTCTACTAATTTTTTTCTTATCTATTGTATAAGATCCAGAAGTGTTTAAATTAAATGATGGTATATCCCTGACCATTTGAATCACTAGTGATATAAGTATGACAATAAAAAGGATATTTAAATAATGAGAACAGGATTGACTTTGACCAGGAATTTCTTCGTTGATCAAGATTTACCTCAGATACACGGAGGCAGTATTTGATACACTCTGGTAAATTATTTAAAATAGACAATAGTTATAATATAACTTTTAATTTGGTTGACTGAATGTAAACAATAACAAGCTGCCTAAAACCCAAAGAAATTTAGAAAATTTCCACTGTATCCCTCCGCTTATGTTATGCTTACCTTACGAGGTGATGTGTGAACAGACTTAATATTCTTGGGAAGTTTTATTAAAGTGATTTATGTTTAAATTTGCGTGTAATTTTACCATTCATAAGAGTTTCCTGTAATTTATAAATTCTAAATGGTTGTGAATCTAAAATAAATTTAAAAAAAATATCACAACATAAATAAAGTGTAAGGTTTGCAATGTTTTGAGTGCTATCCCTTATTTGACTTTATTTGAGTAAAATATCACCATTATTTTTTTTTTTTGGGTTGCATCTTGCAGGGCATAGTATGCTTGTAGTCTTCCAAATTCTTATGTTGGTCGTTTCTTTGAAATTTAAAGAAAGAGTTATATTGTAAACACTACAAATATAATAATATTTGATGGCGCCATTTTTCAAGTTAAGCGTAAAAATCAATCGGAAGTAGTATAACCCGGGAGCCTTAAAACAATCTGTGCTTAGCTTTACATAGTCAACCATCCATAAGGAAATTCAAAATTATTTTTAATACCTATAATAGGTAGTTGATAGTTCAACTGAAAAGAGAGAAAAGAAAAATGTTTAAAACTTAAGGTGTGACAAAGATTTTTGTTGTTTATCAAGGCTATGCTATTTTAAAGAAATTTAGCAAACAGTTCGGTTTTAATTTCTTTTCTGAACTAAATGAACAGTCATCTTATATTTAAGTGATAAATTCGTAAGAAGATAATTCAGAGTATTTCGGTGTTAGTTTTTAATTTTATTTTGATGAGAAGTATTCCATACATAGAAAAAGACTGACTAGTATTTACTCTGAGTGACTCTAGATACTTTTTAATATGTTAAAAAATTTAGTATGGAGATCTTTATGGTGATCAAAATCATAAAAGGGTGTCGGAAATGTAAAGCATTTTTATAGCGATAAAGTAACAATAATATTTCTTTCCAATATGGCTGTCATAAAGTTTCAATAATTCAAATATTTTCATTAAAATAAGAAAAATATCCGAAATTTTCCAATACTTATACATTACTTCATGTTTGTATACCACTGTCACGGCACTAAAATACACACAGCTCTCTATGTATTAAAATTATTTTTCCCAATCTTTTTATGTAAACATTAATTTTAGGGAAAATATGGATGGTAATTTGATTCTAAAACACAACATTTTACAGGACCAAACTTACTCGTAAGTTCTAAATTTTCGATCGCCAATAGTAAGTTGAAATTGCGAACCTTTTGTATACACTACTCATTTATTTGTTAATTTAATTAGTTCTTGATTAATTATGATGTTTCAGAAAATATTTTATGCTTGATATGTCACCATTTTGTCACATAAAAATTACACGCATTTTAAATTAATAATAGATTATATAGGATTTAACTAATATTTCACCATTTTCATTACAGATTTGCTGAACCTTGGCTAAGTTTTTAAATTTTACTCAACTAAAAAATAACGCAGTTTATAACAATTCCTTTTAATTATTACAAGCAAAAATATTATTTTACTTATCTCTAAATCTTTAAGTGAAAAAATAAATATAATGTCAAGCCTTAATCCTAAAACCTTTACAGGTGGACAAAAAACAGGAACAGCCTTCAATTTTAATTAAGGACAATAGAATATTACAAGCAGAATTACTAACCATTTTAGTATGTATGTTCAATATTTTCAAATGTCGCCAATCTGCTCCACCGTTAAAACATCAATCGGTTTTAGAACAAGAAATTTTTGCAATCAGTTTTAAACCTTTTAATTTCTAGGTCAATTACCTACAAAATTCAAATTTAACCTTTTTATCTGTTTTTTACTTGCATTGTTTAAATTTTGACTATTTGATTCAAAAAAAATAACTATGCAATCCTTAAAGTTGTCATTTCACAAAGAATTAGAGAAGGTGACTACCAGTGGCTGAGTGGTAGCTCTTCATGCTCTCGTGCCACAGGTCCTGGGTTCGATTCTCGGGCCAGGCAAGATTGGCTCAGCCTTTCATCCCTTCAGTGTGTCGATAAATGAGTACCAAGCATGCTTGGGAACTAAACACTGGGAGTTTCGCGTTTCGCTGACCACCTGACCGGAACATTTGCTCCTGCACCCCAGAGCCAAAGGTCAAGAAAACTGAGATGGGCACAGCAGCCTTTGGCCGTCTATGGGCTGCCGCACCACTGAGTCTGAGAGAAGGTGGAGAATGCATATCAAAGATGGCCCATTATACAATATAACAAAACTGTAATTGTGGGAAAGAAATTTATTTGTTGGGATTAATATTATTACTAAATTTAATTAGAAAAATTGAAGTTTGCTCCATTAAGCAGATAAGAAAATGCAATTATTGGATCTAAAGTTACTCCTGCTGGTTTTATTTTCTGACTATACATGATACTTAATTCTTAAAATTACTAAAATGGTGTATTTCATTTTTAATTTTCCCCAAAATAATATTTTGATAAATAAATGAAAGTGGTAATTAGCTAAATATTAGAGATTTTAATAAAATTTGCTATTGCATAGAACTGCTTAACAAGAACTGCTTAGCAAAAACTATTGGGTATAAACTATTGTTTTTTAATAAAAGTTTCACAATTAAAGACTTCTGTTCAAAATGGTTTAAAATACAATATATCAATTTTTTTTTTAAACAAAGAAAAATATTTTCTAGTTTCCACTCCCTTTCTTCTTAAAATAATGTCTCCAATGGACAACTCTCTTGATATTTTAAAATTAGTCTCTAAAACTCCTTTTTTTCTTCTTTCCCTTTTTCAGAATATCAAGGGATAAAGAACGCGAACAAAATTCCAGAAAAATTTATTGGCTGCCAGATCTTATAGGATTTGGGAAATGATCTTAGTAAGTTTCATACACAAAAAGAAAGGGGGAAAAATGGAGAACATGATTCTAACCTCCCATTTTTTTTTTAGTAATATAATATAAAATTTAATATTAATATAATATAAAATTTAGTATTTTAACAGGGTAGCTACATATCTTTGTTCTCTTAGATACATCTTGACATACTATA